GAGCAGCCAGGGCGGAGGAGGAGGAGCAGGAGGATGTGCAGAGCAGCAGGGTGCAGGCTCCAGACACCAGCCCACGGATCCATTTTCAACAAGTGGAATAGTATTAAGCAGGTAAAAAAAAATGTAAAAGAATGATCCTGGAATAAGACAACCAATGAACTGTGTGGTTTTTACTCACACCACACACAAAAATTAATTTGTCTTAAAGCAAAATATTAGCTTGGATTTCAATAATGAAAATTTAGAAAAGCACTTAGTAGGCTCATGCAGGAGGATCACCATTTAGAGGCCTGCCCACACTACTTAGCAAGTACAAAACAATCTGAGCTATACAGTAAGACAGTCTCAAAAGAATAATTAATTAATACTGTAGGTGAAAGAAGAAAATCACAATGTTGCAATAAGCAAAGAATTCCGAAGCGATGAACTATTGTTTAAAGGTGTAAACTGAAAAGTAGAGAGACAGTTCAGCAGTCAATAGCACTTGCTGCTCTTCCAGAAGACCCAAGTTTGGCTCCCAGCACATATGCTGGACAGCTCACAACCACCTGTAACTCTAGTACCAGGGGACAACATACCCTTTTCTGGCCTCCCTAGGCACCTGCACACACACAAGCAAACACACATAAAGATTTAAAAGTAAATCTTAAAAAAGAAATACTAAGCTGATCCAGAGGCAGTGGCAGGAGAATGTCATGTTTGAGAAGTCTGAGCTGGATAATAAATAAAATAATGTCTCCAAAAAAAAAGAGTGAAGATATGATCAAGATTCATTGTACACATGTAAGAAATTTTTCTTAAAAATATTATACAAAGAAGTGAAACTAAAGGCTAGGGATGTAACTTAGTGTGGAATGTTTTCCTGGAGTGCACAAGGCCTGGGCTCACCACCACCTTGCCTCACACCCAAAAGAGAGGAGAAAAGATACAAAAGAAAGATTAAATTAAGACCTTCTTTCAAAATCACCATTTAGAAACTGAAAAGGCAAGATACACAGTACCAGAACATGTTCTGACTGTCTCTGCTGGACCAACTGCAGGTCACAGGGAGCTTGGTATTTGGAGCCAAACCCAGAGAGAGTCCAGGAGGAGTTGGGAGCTGGAAGGTAGACAAAATCGGAATACATTGCATATGTATGAAATCACCAAAGGAAAGAAATGGAAAAACCAAAAAACAAAACCCACAACACTACCACACTGGTTTGCCTGGCATTCAAGAAGCCCCAGGTTCAATTCTCAACACCATATAAATCCTGACATTATGGGCCATGCTTGTGATCCCAGCACTTGGGAAGTGGAGGCAGGAAAAGAAACACAAAAACAGTTCAAGATCATCCTGGGTTGCAGAGCAAATTTTAGGTCACCCTGGTCTGCACTAGATACTCTCAAAAATAAGTAAATAAACAAAAGGATTGATGGATAGATAGATAGATAGATAGATAGATAGATAGATAGATAGATAGATAGATAGATAGATAGATGACAGACAGACGGACACATAAGTTTGCACTATGGAAACCAAATGTAAATATTTTGAATCAATGTTTGCTTTTGACACAAAAAGATCCTGCGATTTTGTAGGTCACAGTAGTGTTCTGTTCCACAACTGTGTGGCAGTGGCATGCTGTAATAACTTGTTTGCCAAAAACAACAGGGCTGTATCCATAAAATGTGTCCATGTATTGTGCAGGAGCTATTCTACAGCAGGAATATTCCTTTTAGAAATCTTTCATCCTTTTAAAGGTTTTTTATGTATATGAATGTTTGATTCGTTGTCTGCACTGCATGTGTCCTGTGTCCATGGAGAGCAGGAGAGGGCATCAGATCCTTGAGATCGGTAGTTACAGGTGATTGTTAGCACCATGTGGATGCTGGCAACCAAATGTGTATCCTCTACCAAAGGGGCAAGTACTCCTAACAACTGGGCTGTCACTTCAGCCCCAAGACTAACAGTTTTTTAGAGAAAAAGTCTCTAGAAATTAAATGTTTAGAAAGAATATTTAAACTTCTATCCTTGTTGAAAGGTGTGCCATAATCCAATAGAATATGACTAATACAGATTACAGATGCTAGACACTATCGCACTATAATAAAATAATGCTCAATTTATTAAAAATGCATTTATCAAGAAATAAATAAAGAGCAGAGCCTTAAATTATTCCCAAGACTGAAAAATGCTTTTAGGAAAAAAAATAAGGCTTTTAAAAAAGAAGTTGTGATAAATTTTGGTTCAGCTTGTTTGGGTTTTGTGTGGTGTTTTTGGTTTTGTTGTTGTTGTTGCTTTTGTTTTGTTTGTTTAAGACAGGTATCTCTACAGAGCCCTTCCTGTCCTGGGACTCACTACATAAACAAGACTGGCTTGAACTCACAGAGACACACCTGACCTCTGCTTCCTCAGTGCTGGAATTAAAGCCATACACCACCAAGCCTGGTCTTTTGGGCTTGTTTCTAAGGCAAGTTCTCCTATACCCAACATTGACTTGAGAGTGGCCTTGACTCCTGAGCATCCTGCCTGAGACTTCTCAGGAAAAGTGTAGACAACCTATCAAACTGTGAACAAACACTACACACAGTGTATGTTTCATAGATTTTTTAAAATATTCTGAGGTCATCTAAAAGAGATTTGAAAATTCACTACAATTAAGAATTTTTCTAAGAATCTTGTTTCTGTTTACCTTCCCTTACTGTCTTGACAAGGACCTTTTCTCAGAGACATTTGTTTTTACAATGATCAGATCAAAGCGTCTGAATGGCCAAGCTAAAGTAGTCATTAAGCTGGTATCAAAACATAAAATGTGCTTGTCATTTCCTCTTCTAATCATTTAATCACCCTTGTATCTTTGTGCTTTTTCCTCTCTGTATCTCATTAGAAATTTAACACACTAGTGGGGAGCTCAAGCAAGGAGCTCAAATTAAGCAAGGAGCTCAAATGAGTGGAAGAGAGAAACAGAGAATCACCATTGCTCAAACGTTAGTTTGAAACCCCAAAATTCTGATCTTAGACAAGGCTACATCTGCCCTTGATGCAGAAAGTGAGTCAGTTGCTCAAACTGTACTGGAGAAGGTAAGTGGACAGAATCTTTTCTGAGACCCACATTGCTGGTTCACTGTTGTTTTTAAGTACAGGAAAGTACAGATTTGGGGTCCTTTGGATACCAGCTTGCAGTTCCCAGAGTTTCTCTGGTATGGATCCAGGGTGTGACTTGGAGAAATAAAAGCTATGGTTGACATAAAACATACACACACACAAGCCATCAATCTGTATACCATTCCATTCCAGCAGGACTCACCTTCCTGTGGAAACATCCTCATCACAGAAACAGCAGTGGGTGTCTTTTGCTTCTTCTATTCACACTGATGGATTTTTCTTGTCTATAATAGTTTTTCTTCTTTTTTGTGTTTTCTTTTTTATTTATTTATTCATTTATTAAAAATTTCCACCTCTTCCCTGCCTCCCTTTTCCCTCCCCCTCCCCATCTCCAGCTCCCTCTCTAGTCTTAAGGGCAGTCAGGGTTCCCTGCCCTTGGGAAGTTCAAGGTCCTCGCCTGTGAGACGCCCCCCTTGTCCAGCAAGCTGAGACGACCACGAAATAGAGATTCCTTCCCAAATCACACCTTTATTTGGAGCACTCAGTTGAGGAAAATTGGGGAAAAGGAAAAAGAGAGAAAAGACAGAGAGAGGGAGAGCAGGTGATGAAGAGAAAGCGAAAGAGGAAGTGAGAGGGAGAGAGAGGCCCAAGCAGCAGCTGCTTTTCTAGGGTGGAGAGGCTCGGATGCTGATTGGTTAATACCATTTGCTGGAGCCCGGGAATTTCAAGATAGGCCAGGGAACCAAGGTTCTGTAATGCAAAAATACAAGCCCCAGGTGCTCTGGCCCGTGCAGCAGCAACAAAGGATCTGTTTACCTCCAAGCTGTAGGAGGCCAGCACCATTTAACAATGGCGATGTTCTGACGGCTCCTTACAGCTCCCCCTATTTTGTTTTAAAGAGCAATAAAGGCAAAACCTATTTCCCAATCAGGTCCCCACCTCATGATGTGTGGACCAATTAAAGGAAAGAAAAGCAAGACACACCCTTCCCGTGCAATGGGACAGCTACTTCCCTGGGAGTGTAAGGGCTGTGTCTGCACATCCTCCGCCTATGCATACCTTCCTCTGTGCAATGGGAGTATCTGGTCCCTTGAGGGTACAAAGGCTATGCATGGCACATTGCCTATGAGCTCTTTTAAGGCTGAGAGTCAAACTTGGGGTGAGGACCCACATTCCAAGGCTGCCAAGGCGTGTGCCACAAAGACCTTGTCCTTCCTCATTTGGGCTAGCAGATGGCACACCAATCAAAGACAAACCGCACATCCACCTAGACAGCATGCCAAGAATATCTCTGCTCCCACCCATTCCTAAGGAAGGAAAAAGGCAGAATAGAGTCTGAAGAGGCTGCACAGGGTGCTGCTCAAGGTGATAATGTGAAACAGCTGCTCTTGACATCGCCCAGGGGGTCATCTCTGCTGCCTCTGCACGAATCTTCATCCTTTGTAGCATTTTTTACCTTTTGGTTAGTCGTTCTGGCACCTAGATGCATGTCAGCATTCCTAGAAAAAACATAAACAAAACTCTTCTCCCAAATTAACAATTAAGAGTACTAAAAAACTCAGTGTAAAAATTTAGCACAGTCAGTACTGGAAGTAGGATGGTTTTGAACTTAGAGACCTGCAGGTCTCTGCTCCAAAGAGTAAATCTTGTTTGCCTGTGTCATTGCAGCAGGCCTTAGAATTGGACTGAATGGCCAACCTTAAAATATCTTTTTTATTGGCCTATACCATTGTAGCAGGTTTCTGCATTGGGCTGTTTATTGTTAAATGTCATAAGATATTTTTTGAATAACTCCATATAAATTGAATAAGAACTTTTAACCTTATAAGAAATTTAAGCCATTAGACAATGGAGAGATCTCCTATTTTCTTGAGGAGACAGTGCCAATATAGCAAAATTGACAATATTATTGAAAATCCATCAAATTTATGATGAAAATTTAGACTTTTAAATAAAATAATTATTACCCTTATGAGAAAATACAGACCTAAAATCCTGTATAATTAAGGAACCTTTGAATCTATTATAATCTCTAATTTAAAACTGTTGAGATTTAAGTTTTAAAATAAACCGTTTTAAATCTGGCACAGTTGAGCTTATAGCTCCAAAAATATAATTTTGAGAAAACTGTCTTCCTGTTCCTAGCCTGGAGCTCTCTAAAAATGTGTAAATAACCTTTCTTTAAAAAGGAGAAACATTAGATTTAAAACCAGATAGTTGTGAGCTGCCATGTGGTCACTGGGGATAGAACTCACAACCTCCGGAACAGCAGTCTGTTCTCTTAACCTCTGAGCCATCTCTCTAGCTAAAATGCTAAGCAGTTCTTAAAAACTTAAGTCGCACCATGTAGATGTAATATGGTACTGCCTGCTTGTTGCGTCTAAACCTTGATTGAGCTTTTATTATGATAATTACGACCTGCCTGAGGTCAGCACATTTCAGCATAGACAAGTGGAACCAGAGCCATTTCAGCCTCAGAGCCCCTCACAGTTTCAGGTACACCGGAAGTCTCCTGGCCTGGCAGCCCGTGGCACCGCCCTTATTTTCGGCACCACTGTGGCACCCGCCAGGCCAGGCACCGACTAGGCTGGCACAATGTGCTTTTCACAGTCCAAACTGGTGCACGGAGTGAAGCGGAACTCAGAGAAGCAGGCTTGCTGCTCTGTCACTTAATCTTTTAGGGAATTTGGGCAACGAGAATTCTGTCTGGCTACTTCCTGCTGAATATGGGCGTTGTATCAGTGTTTCTTTTTGATTGTGAATTTCTGGCGACCGTGGCTTCCCCTCTGACGTGCGGCGCGCGGCAGCCACGGCTCCGCCTCTGACGCAAGGTGCGCGGCGGCGACTTATGCACGGCCCGCGGCGATGAGCTGAGCCCCTCGCCTCACTCCGCAGCCTCCGCCTCCGCCCTTCCGCCTCAGTCAGGGCAAGTTTGCTCCAAAAAGCCGCAGCCCCGCGGAAAGGCCGGGCGCCATCCATATTGTACACATAGCCTCTGACGTCATCCGGACTTTAGCCCGCCCATGTCACCACGGCGACCTGGCTTTCTGCAGATGCCTCTGCCAACTCCAGCAAATCCTGCTGACGTGCGCCAGCAGAACCGGCTCCACTGACTGCCTGTGCCCCACATTTAAACATGCATATGAGAGCCAGGCATTGCTCTCTCATGAAAATTAGGCGAAATCACCTCAAAAGGCAAACTGTTATGATTCTGTGACTCTTTAAGAACAGGGAAGACAGTCCCCAAACATGACCACGTCTGCCTCCCTGCAAAGCTGCAGCCCACAGTCTCTACCAGCAAGTAGGTGGAGGGACGGATGGGGGAGGGGCGGAAGCCGCGGTCTCCCGTACCCCGCCGTAAACACATCCTCATTTTCCCGCCTTCAGTTACCTCGCTTTTACTCAAATCTGGCGGCTGTTTTCTCAAGCTCCTCCTGCACTGAACTTATGGGGTTTTTCTTCCCCGTTACTTTTGGTACCTTCTTTCAGATACGTTTCCTTTGATTTTTCCATTTTTCTTTTTAGGCCTATGCTCTATCCTCCCCTTTACCTGGAGGATTTCACTGATGTCACTGCTCCGCGTGTTGGGTTCTGAAAACTCGGCTCTCTCTCTGATGTCCGATCTCGGGGTTGCAGGTTCCCGGGTATTCTGGCACCAGTTGTGAGACGCCTCCCTTGTCCAGCAAGCTGAGACGACCACGAAATAGAGATTCCTTCCCAAATCACGCCTTTATTTGGAGCACTCGGTTGAGGAAAATTGGGGAAAAGGAAAAAGAGAGAAAAGATAGAGAGAGAGAGAGCAGGTGAGGGAGAGAAAGCGAAAGAGGAAGTGAGAGGGAGAGAGAGGCCCAAGCAGCAGTTGCTTTTCTAAGGTGGAGAGGCTCGGATGCTGATTGGTTAATACCATTTGCTGGAGCCCGGGAATTTCAAGATAGGCCAGGGAACCAAGGTTCTGTAATGCAAAAATACAAGCCTCAGGCGCTCTGGCCTGTGCAGCAGCAACAAAGGATCTGTTTACCTCCAAGTTGTAGGTGGCCAGCACCAATTAACAATGGCGATGTGCTGAGGGCTCCTTACACTCCCCTCTCCATTCAGGTCTAAAAAGGTGAGCATCCAAACAAACCAGGCTCCCACAAAGTCAATCCATGCAGTAGAATCAATACCCAGTGCCATTGTCCTTGGCTTCTCAGTCAGCCTTCATTGCCAGCCACATTCAGAGTGTCCATTTTGATCACATACTCCATCACTCCCAGTCCAACTGGCCTTGGGGAGCTCCCAGTAGATCAGTCCCACCGTCTCAGTGGGTGAATGCACCCCTCGTGATCCTGGCTTCCTTGCTCATGTTCTTCCTCCTCCTGCTCCTCATTTGGACCTTGGGAGCTAAGTCCAGTGCTCCAATATGAGTCTCTGTCTTTATCTCCATCCATCGCCAGATGAAGTTCCTATGGTGATATGCAAGATATTCATCAGAGTGGCTATGGGACAAGGCCAGTTCAGGCTCCCTCTCCTCTGCTGCCCAAGGAACAATCTGGGGACCTCTCCTTGGACCTGTGAACCACTTTAGAGTCAAGTCTCTTGCAAATCCTAAAATGGCTCTATTAATTAAGATATTTACTTCCCTGCTCCCATACCACCCTTCCTCCATACCACCCATCCCATTCCCCCAAGCTCTCCAGAATCCTCCCCTTCTCCCTTCTCTCTACCCATCTCCCCTTACATCCACCCTCCACACCTCCGTGCACCCAAGTTTTGCCTGGCATCCTTGTCTACTTCCAATATCCAGAAGGATAACTATATGATTTTCTTTGAGTTTACCTTCTTATTTATCTTTTCTAGGATCACTAATTATAGGCTCAATGTCATTTAATTATGGCTAGAATCCACTTATGAGTAAGTACATACCATATTCCTCTTTTTGGGTCTGGGTTACCTCACTCAGTAAAGCATTTTCTATTTCCATCGATTTGTATGCAAAA